AACAAGACCACGATATGCATGAATTCATTGGAGACACACCTAAATTTATGCTTAGGGGGGCAAAGAATTTTTTAACTAACTGGTCTAAAACAGCAAAAGGGTTCCATCACTGTGGTAAATGCTTGTAAACATACTAATATAATTAAAAAAAAGAAAGACAATTTTATATCAAACACGACCAAAAAGTCTTTTAATATTACTTATTTTATTACATGTGAGTCCAGCAACGTTATATATTTATTACAATGTACATGTGGCTTATAATATGTAGGGAAAATTTCCAGACCCCTAAAAACAATAATGTATGAACACATCAGAAACATCAGAAACGGTTTTATAAATCATAGTGTGTCTAATCATTTTTTAGAAAAACATAATTCAAATCCAGAAGAACTACAATTTATAGCAATCCAACAGGTTAAAACCCATTGGAGAGGGGGCAACACTGCATTTAATTTAAGTAAAAAAGAGTCCAGTTGGATCTTTGAATTACAAACCCTATGCCCTAAGGGGTTAAACATTGATTTTGAGATAGGCTCTAATTTTAGAAAATCCCTTTACATTTTAGTCTTTTCTATTTTGGTATTTCATATATTATTCGTATTAATATCTTATTGTGTTATAAAGTATATTTTTATTCTATTTGTATTTTATATGTTATTTACATGAATAGTTTATTACGTTATAAAGTATATTCTTACTTTGTTTGTATTTTTACCACTTTTAAATTAATTCTCTCTACCCTTAATATTGCCCTCATCTTTTCCCTTCTCCAATATGGCCTCTGAATGAACAATGTTTTACTCCTGAGCCCGCCCCTCCTTCGGTAATGAGTTATAACCACATGACTGTTTTATCCGCTTGCACCTGCTGATAAATGACACGCGTGACGTCAACCGGAAATGACGAAACGGACATGACGACTACAACTCACATGGAACTAAAAACGGCAGACGTGCACGGCCATGTTAGTTGGGGCTGGACTCATACATAGAGGAGAATGAAAGACAGCAGACATATTGGAAGAGGCGGAAGTATCCAAAAACGGCCGGAAACACTCCATATATGGAAAAGGAGGAAGTTAATTGATCCACACCTGTATCTATGTTTTAATTGATTGTAAAGTGTTTTGTGCCATATATAAGAAAGTTGTTGTATTCCCAAACACATATGCACCTGAGGAAGACCTTTTGTATGAGGTCGAAACACGTTGTGCTGTTTATTGTTTTTTAGTTTTCACTGTATAAATAAAAGTATTCACTATATATCCATCCTGGTTCCTGATCTACTAAACAGAGGATTGTCTACACCTTCTGTGGGACCTAATACCTGCAAATTCACATCTGATTGATGCATCCTACCTTCATAGTTTAGATCAAACTCATAAATGCTCTAAATATTGTGAGTTTTCTGAATTATTCAATTCTCAGTATTTTGTGTTTGAATTTACTACGCTATGTTCGCTTTTTATATTTACAGATCTTAGAGATTATTAATATAATCCAAGAGTTTCATCTACAAAAGTGCGCAATCACCTTTTCTCTATTTTGTATACCAAAAACACAAGTTAGAAAAACAATATTTACCCTTTTAGTTTAAACTCCTGTTGTTTCAACTCCTACTTAAGAGACTACTTTAAATTAAGGGGCACTTCCCCTAATTAGCTCAGCAGCAACACCCACAAGGAGGGGAATATAAACAGCAAGAGAAAAAAATAAAAGAGGGAAAAGTTTTGTGACTGACCTCCTGGCACAGCCACTGGGTACTTCCACCAATCGATGCTTCCTAGCAGACGCTGAGGACCATAAGCACCGCACCGGACACCATAAGCATTGTAGACCCCACGAACCAACGCAGAGTTACAATCTAAGGCACTCCAACACATAGCATACAATCCCTCCCCTCTGCCGGGAGATAATTGGTTCAATTACTGTATCAATTTAATTATCTCCAGGCAGAAAAAAAAACATATTTTTAAAAAGTCCCCAAAGTCCCCCAAAACACATAATATCCCCTAATAGCCATGATCTGGGTGACCAACATATCTAAAAATCACCCAGATCAGTTCAGGGGTTCAGAAATTTTATGGAAGTCATGTATTTGACCGACCGCAGGCATGGTCCCATGCCCAAAAACAGTTCCAGAGAATCAGGGCTTGCAGTTGGTCTATTGTATTTTGATTTCAAAATAAGATAGCCACTACTCATAGTAGTCAAACAACATGCTGAAACAAGAGGGAGTTGATTAAGATATGTCAAAGCAATGCATGATCTAAAAAATAACTTCTGAGAATTGGTAATAGCTGCACAACAAAGAGGATCAGTAGAATAAGTACGTAGAAGTACGTACATCAATCAACTTGCTTTAATTTATTAGATCTGTAACCAAAGCTATATTCTTGAAAACATATGGTAATGCATTTCCATGTCAACTCTGAGTAGATATTTGAAAACTGTATTAATTATCCCAATCTCTTGTGTAATTATATTTCACAAAATGTTATCCATGTAGCATTTTGGTTCAGATAAATGTTGTCCATGTGAAACTATTCAGATTATAATTAAAAAAGCAAAACAAAAAAAAACTATAGGGTCAATATAATCCCCCATATAGTCCTGATATGCTACATGTGAGGATAGACCTCATTAACATTGTGCAGCCATTAGCTGATATCTTTAATAAAGAACTAGGAACTAGGCAGCTATTGCTGCCCAATCCATATGAAAGCCTCCCAATAAGCAAGAAAGGGGCCTGTAAACATTGAATAGGGGTTAGATAACTACTGTCCTATCTCGCTACATCCATTTGCCTTCAAGATCCTTGAGAGAGTTGTGTATGCAAGACTGACAGACTTCCTCAAATCCAACTCTGCTTGACCCACTTCAATCTGGATTCCGTGCTCGTCACTGTGTTGAAACAGCTGTGACCAAAGTATCCAATGATCTTAACACTGTAAAATCCCATGGCCACTACTCTATGCTAATTCTTCTTGACATTTCTGCTGCTTTAGACACTGTTGATCATCAACATCTTCTCTTCCTCTTGGTCTATGAGATAACGCTCTTTCCTGGTGTTCTTCCTTTCTTTCTCTGGCTCTGCCTCTTCTCCCAATCCCTTTCTGTTGGTATGTCCCAATGGTCTGTTCTTGGGCCCGTATTGTTCTCAATCTACACTGACTCCATTGGTAAACTCATCAGCTCTTCTAGTATCATTTCTATGCAGATGACATGCAAATTTTTCTGTCCTCCCCTGATTTTTCACCACCTCTCTTGACTCGTGTCTGTGACTGTGCCTCTGCTATTTCTAACTGGATGGTTGCTTATTTCCTTAAACTTAACCGGTCCAAAACAAAACTTTTGGTTTTCCCTGCTTCAACTGTTGCTACTCCCTTGTCTGTTTCCCTTTAAGTCAATGGCGCTACCATCAGCTCTACCTCACAGGCTCGCTAACTAGCTGTTCTCCTTGACTCTGACCTCTCATTTACCCCTTATGTCCAATCAATCACCAAATCAAGTTGCTTCTATCTCAAAAACATAGCGGGCATACGCCCCTATTTAATGCCTGATACAGCTAAGGTATAACGCATACATACCACTGTCCTCTCTCACCTTGACTACTGTAATCCTCTTCTCAGTGGTCTTACGTGTTCCCAACTTGCGCAACTTGTATAAGGAATGCGGCGGTGAGGCTCATCTTCCTGTCCGTCCGCACCTCCCTCACTTCCCGCTCTGTCACTCCCTACATTGGCTTCCTGTAAGATATAAGGCTCAATTTAAGATTCTTGTACTTGCTTACAAATCTCTACACAATGCTGCTCCAACCTATCTATCCTCATTAATACACAACTATGTCCCGTCTGGGTCCCTATGCTCTGCCGAATATCTATGTCGAACTTCTGTTCGTACTTCTACCTCTGATGCTCACTTTAAAGACTTCTCTAAGGCTGCACCATTCCTATTGAGCCCTAGAGAAGTTTTATTGAGCAGGGCCCACAATCCTTCTGTTCGTATCCAACTCGTCTGGTTACAATTATGGGTCTGTTAGTTCACCCATTGTACAGCGCTACATAATTTGATCTGCCCAAGAAGCGCTTTCTCTGGTGTTACCCAAGTGGAGGTATCCACCGGAGGGAGACGTGGGCCCCAGCGGCGTTGGCTGCACAGCCACAGAGGTCCCGCTGGCTGCCTGGAGGTCCATGCCGACCAATATGAGAAGGAGCTCCCATTCAAACTGGTTTTGCACCATTCCCCTGATAGGTCGGCACGAGGTGATCGCTGATTGGTCGCTGTGGGGCGCAGACATTCAACAGTAGAAGGAGAGGCCATTCAAATGGGTCTGATGCATGGTTGCACCCAGGATCCCATACTTCCTCCAGGATTCCCCCTTGGGGACTCACCCATTGACACGGGTTAGGTGAAAACATGTTTTGGCCATTTTGTTTTGTCTTGTCTGTCCAATGTTTGTCTAAGTTTGTTTTCTATAAGTATCTTGCCTACAAGGTACACTAATCAAATATACTGGTTTATTATCTGGTTGTTGTGTATTGTTACATGTATGCTTTGTGGATTTACTTTTGTATAGTAAGTGTTTAAAGGGACACTATAGCCACCAGAACAACTACAGCTTAATGTAGTTGTTCTGGTGAGTATAATAGCTCCCTTCGGGCATTTTCATGTAAACACTGCCTTTTCAGAGAGACAGCAGTGTTTACATTGCCCATAGGGACACCTCCAAGTGGACACTCCTTAGATGGCCACTGGAGGGGCTTCCTGGCTCAGGGCTGCACAGTAGGCACTTCTCCCATTTAGCGTCCCCACGCTCTGCATGAAAACGCTGAATTTTCCTCATAGAGTTGCATTGATTCAATGTATCTCTATGAAGAGGTCCTGATTGGTCAAAATGGCATTTGGCCCTGCCCCCGTGCTGATTTTAGACAATCCAATGCTTTCCAGCTCTCCACGTGTCCTTATTTTCAGCTCTCCACGTGTCCGCCGGTGCTGGCCCCACCCCCTTGGTGACATCATCAAAATTGCAGATTTTTAGCCAATCCTATGCCATGGGATTGGCTAAAAATCTGCAATTTTGATGATGTCACCAAGGGGGTGGGGCCATCACTGGCAGACACATGGAGAGCTGAAAATAAGGAGTTTTAACCCATTCTGAGGGGTGTAAGGTGGGGGCAAGCCACCTAAATAGTGTGTTTTTACTATAGGGTCAGGAATACATGATTGTGTTCCTGATCCTATAGAGATCCTTTAATAATATCATATTGTGTCCCTGTTTTCATATGGATAATTAATCAAAAATAAACACTTAAAAAAAAAAAAAAAAACTACTATTTGTCATAGGTGGGTACAGAGGGGTTTCTATGACCTGTTCACCCCCATTACTTAATTTTAATAAGCCCCCACCAGGTATTTTTGCTGCTAGATTTCTATTACAGGGAGCAACCAATAGTGGTTCACTGTTTAATAAACATGCCCCACTTACGGGATAAGGCTGGGGGCATGATGGTAGTCATTATAACAACCTTACACTAATATGTGTCATATTAACCCGAAAATACTTTTTATATGCAATTTTTCTTCTACTTAATATGGTGGCAGGGTAGCCAGTGTTGCCCAGCCCCTACATGATTAACCCTCACACTGCCAAGTTTTTATCTAAACTACTACTACTAGTGCTTTCAGTGGACAAATAGTTTTGATTTGAAACTATAAATCAGGAAACAAATTAACAGTTCTTCTATTGTTTTGTGTTTTGTCTAAAAATGGGGGTCTGCAATTTGTCCAGATTCTGCAACACCAAAATGCCATATGGACATATCACAAATCATTCGGAACTGAAAGCACAAGTCTAATATACTGCAATACTTAATGACATTTAAAAATTTGGGGAATTTTGTAGTAATGCTACTTTAAGTTCTATCACATATGTATTTAAAGCCTGCAAATTGTTACATTAAAATCACATATTGGATTAACCTTCATTTGTTTTTCACAGCTACAAGAAATATTTTTTTCCCCTTTTTTAGAAAGTGCATATTCCATTTGCTACTGTGCTATTGATTTGATAGCTAGGGGAAGTGGAAGGAATGAATATAAATTGGCTTCTGTTGATTTCAGATTACAAAATGGCTCTCATAAAGGAGATACCAGCTGGACAGTAGTGATAAACTACACATCTTCTGAAATTGTGATAGTTTGCTACAGTTTGTTTGTTCCATTATGCATGGTATGCACATGTTGGATACATTGTATTTTAAGTAAAGTATACCTAGGAAAATTATAGCTTAAATAGATATCTCATGTTTGCAAAAAAACATATTTTGCAAACATTTGAGTTCAGAATCCAGTAAATCTAACCAGTTTGAAATAGGTTGAACAATTTTGAAGCAGGTGGAGAAGCTTTGCTTTGGGCATAATGTACATTGCAAATAGTGATTTTTTTTTAACAGTTTTAGGATTTAATATTAGTTAAAGCTAGATATATAAATCTATATTTCCCATCAAATGTATTTCATATTATTATTATTATAATTAATATTATTATTACAAATGATAGATGTATTATTAGGACATTTTCTTATTTTAGAATAAGATGTGTGTTATATCTTATGCTTGAGAAACATAATTTTGAGTGTTTTATTATTTAATCCCTTAGTGACCAGACCATTTTTCCATTTTTTTACCGTTAAGGGCCAGGGCTGTTTTACATTTCTGCGGTGTTTGTGTTTAGCTGTAATTTTCCTCTTACTCATTTACTGTACCCACAGATATTATATACCATTTTTCTCACCATTAAATGGTCTTTCTAAAAATACCATTACTTTCATCATGTCATATAATTTACTATGAAATTTTTTTTATAAAATATGATGACAAAGTAAAAAAAATACCTGTGCTAAATAGTTTCATAATTGTGTCCTGAGTTTACCCAATGTTAACATGTTCTAACATGTTCTTACCTTTTTTTTTTTTTTTTCTTTTGCAAGTTATAGGGCTATAAGTACAAGTAGGACATTTGAAAATATATATTTTTAAAATGTATCAATAGTGACGTTGTAACACTTATCTGTTATAAATCTCTGAATCACACCTCAAGTGTACATATTTTTTTTTAAAGTAGGCAACCCAGGGTATTCAGTATGGGGTATGTCCAGTCTTTTTTAGTAGCAACTTAGTCACAAACACTGGCCAAAGATAGTATTTATATTTGTTTGTGTGTTAAAAATGCAAAGAACGATTATGAATGCTAACTTTGGCAAGTGTTTGTGAATAAGTGGATACTAAAAAAGACTGAACATACCCCATTTGCAATACCTTGGGTTGTCTTCTTTTGCAAATGGCATGCCATCATGGGGGTAATTCTCATTCCTGGGCTACCATACGCAGGGACGGTGCAAGGATTATTGCCACCCTAATCAAACAAAAATGTACCACCCCACCATATGCTCTGCCCACCATGTGACATCACAGTACCCCACCCATATGATCTGCCATATGAGCCAACATCAGTGCTGCAAACAGTGTCTTTTCTCTGAAAAGGCAGTATGTTAACATTAAAAAGTCTGTAGGCACAGGCTATAGACACCAGAAACACTACATTAAGCTGTAGGGGTTCTGGTGACTATAGTGTCCCTTTAATGTGAGGTAAATTAGAGATTAGTGCCACTAATAATACACTGGATTGCCTATTTACCACCAGATGAGGACAAGAGGATAATGATGGGCTAAGGCTACAGTCTGGCTCCACTGGTCTGGTGTTAAAACAGGCTCTCTAGAGGCAGTGCTCACAAAAATCAACGAACAGGAAGCAGCTCCATTTTTTTGGGCCCCTTTCACAGATCACAGTCTGGGCTCCCAGGGCCTGACTGTGAGTATACCCACAAGGCCCACCCATAAGCCTTATGCCTACAAGGCCCACCAATGAGTTTGCTCACAGGGAGTGGAGTGTATGTCTATAGGGAATATGTTATGTGTTATTGTAGAGGATGTAATGTGTGTGTGTGTGTAAGGGTTGTAGTGTGTGTATAGGGGATGCAGTGTGTGTGTTTGTGTGTGTGTGTGTGTGTAAGGGATGCATTGTGTGAATCTGTATTTGTATGTGTAAGGAATGCAAGGTGTGTTTCTGTGTATGTAATGTAATGCTGTGTGTGTGTCTGTAATGGGTGCATTGAGTGTGTGTAAGAGATACATTAAGAGAAGCAGTGTGTGTGTGTGTGTGTGTAAGGGATGCATTGTGTGTGTGTGTGTGTTTGTGAGGTATGCATTGTGTGTGTAAAGGATGCATTGTGTGTTTCTCTCTGTGTGTAGGATTCACTGTATGTTTTGGTGTGTGAGTATGGATGCATTGTGTGTTTCTGTGCATGTCTTTAGGGATGAATTGTGTGTTTCTGTGCATGTATAAAGATGCATTATGTATGTGTGTAGGGTGAAAGAGAGGGTTTGTGGCCCCTCTGGGTGTCTTTTCCCTCCCACCCCCAGGTTCCTCTGTGCATCTCCCACCTGAGCCCCTCTTTGTGTCCCTTAGTAATCTGCTCTCCCCTGCTTCCCTGTTCCTTAGTGATCTCCCCCCTCCCCTGTCCCTTAGTGGTCTCTCCTCTCCCCCCTCTCCTGTCTCCCCTGGTGGTGTCTCTCCCTCTAATTGTGTTCTCCCCCTCCCCTGGTGGTCTCTCTCTCCTTACCCCCCTCCCCTGGTGGACTCTCCCATCTCTCCCTTTCCCCGGTGGACTCTCCACTCTCCCTCCCATGGTGGTTTCCTCGCAACCCTCAAATAGTGGTCTCTCTGGTTGTCTCTCTGTCTCTCCCTCCCCCCGGTGGTCTCTCTCTCTCTCTGTCCCTTCCCCTCCTGGTCTCTCTCTCTCCCCTCTCCCCCTCCTGGTCTCTCTCTCTTGGTCTCTCTCTCCCCTCTCCCCTCCTGGTCTCTCTCTCCCCCAATCCCCTGGTAGTCTCTCACACTCCCCCCTTCCCTGATGGTTTATCCACCCTCCCTCCAATGTTGGCCTCTCTCTACTTGTTTCTCTCTCTCTCCCCCCTCCCCTGGTGGTCTATCTCTCCCCACCTGGTCTCTCTTCCACTCCCCCCTTCCCCTGGTGGTCTCTCCCACTCCCCCACCTCGCTTTCCTTGTGTGTCTACTACCTCAGTGTAGCATGGCCGGGCGGCACGGACCAAGGTACAGGAGTTCTGTTCCCTGTACCTGGCCGGACTGACAGGAAGTTCTCACTGAGAGAGTATTTCCTTTCAGTCTGGCCGGGTACAAGAATCAGAACTCCTGTCACGCTACACTGATTGACAGGTAGGAGGGAGTGCTGTACACTTCCCTCCTACCGGGCCACTCAAAATTGGTGCCCCTCCATGCCGGTGTGCCCTAGATGACTACCTTAGTCACCTGTAGAACTCGCTGGCCCTGACCAAAAGCTCTCAAAGGCAACATAACCAATCTAACAAATTTCAGAGTGAAAAAATGGAAAATTAAGCCTTATATTTGACCCTGTAACTTTCAAAAACACTATAAAACCTGTACATGGGGGTTTGGTTATACTCAGGAGACTTTGCTGAATACAAATAATGTTTGTATTGTGTGTTTTAAAACAGTATGACGTATCACAACTATGATATCATCAGAAAAAGTGCAGTTTGTGTGTGAAAAATGCAAAAAAATTACTTTCACTGACAATATCATCGCTGTGATATGTTTTACTGTTTTGAAACACTAATATTTGTGTTCAGCAAAGTGTACCAAGTAAAACTGTACACTACATGTACAGGTTTTAGGGTATTTAGGAAAGTTACAGGGTTAAATATAGTGCTAGCAAATTAAATGCTCTGGACTTTCAGCCTGCATTGTCAGGCAGGTCCCTCAAATTGCAATCAATAAAATTACTTAATTATGTAAAAATATTACGTAAATATGCACGTAGAATTTAAATATACATACAAATTTATATATTTGAAGTCTATGTGTATATTTATGAAATTATTTATGTAATTATGTATATGAACATATGTTTATTTGTATTATTTGTATTTTTATATATATATATATATATAAATACAAAAACAAATAAACATATGTTCATATACATGATATATTTAAAATTTCATTC